GAACCATAAGGCACATTCGCATGCAAGAAGGAATAGATGCATGCGACAACGTGCACAAAAGATTTCTAGGAAGATCAGCAGCAGTTCTTCCCTTTTTGCATATTTTAATCTTCTATATGTTTTCAAACGCTTTTTATTCAATGTTATTATCCCTATATTCCATCGGACCTGATTGAGGGCATTAAACGAAGCATTGATAGAGCCATTAGTAGTCTAAGGACAGAAGAAATCAATTGGAAAAAACACAGGCTGTAGCCGAAGGACAAAAGTAATCAGCTACTGATAGCCTTTGTAGATTGAAGGCACGGAGCGAAAAAAGAAGTCTTCCTGCTCGAAGCATTAGAGGCGTTGGAGTCGAACGTGCGCCTTATTCCCCGGAAAATAGGGTAAGTAATAGGGTAACCACTAAAGTAATCCTTCACACAGTAATAATCAGTAGATATAGCGCGTGCACGGGATTGTTTGGAGTAGGGTGAAGCACCTGTATGGTGTAGCACTGCTAAATTGTTCGAATAAGAAGACCCATCCCTCCTCTTCAGCTTGGATCCACACTGCCTCCTTGGCTTGTTCCGGAATTGTTTCAGATGCTGTAGGGTGACAAAATGCTCCGAAGCTCTGAGTTAACAGTAGCTTTACCCTTCAAGAGTGAGTCAGTCTATTTCCACGAGGTGGATATTATATTATAACCGTACAAATTGGATTTTGTGAGGACAGCCTCACACTTCACTACCTTGCAGTACAACACTGCTAAGCAGCCTAGGCTTAATAGCAACAGCGCGATTTGCAAAATTTATTTTGCACAAGTGCAGAATTCGATTCTCGCTAGCATAGTCGAATAGCTGCAAATTATTCCGGAAAGCTTTCACTCTTCCCTAAGAACTCTGACATCCCACATTACGAAAGATAAATTTTGTTTTTATCTTCAATGGTTACTCATTTGAGAACGTCTTTCTCCTATTCTGTAGATGAGCGACGATCACTGTAACGTGATGGTTTAGTGTATTAGAACCGCTTTCGTCCTGAACCATTCTTGGCAATATTGGACAAAGCGACACCTCTTCAGTTGTAGAGTATCCTGCAGCTCTTGCCAAGGTCCCGCAACGAAACACCCTTTCAGCGGCAGAGCACAACCATGTGAGAGGACGCAGACAAGTAGCGCGTTTGGCTTTTTTGGGCATGGCTAGAAGTGCGAAGCACACAGCCGGTTTCTGTAAATCACTATTATTTTCCAGCTTCGTTCCCGTGCATTTTAGAGCGGAGAAAACGGCTCGCTACTGTAGCTGGTAGTCCCGTTTCCCTAACTCACGGCAAGGACTAAGATCCACGGAGGTGAAAATACAGCTCGTCTTTGATACTAATTTTTTTAGTTATAAGAATCGTACGCTCAGACTTGTAAACCCTTCCGCTGAATTGAGTGCATGTTTATGGTAACTGTTTTGTTCACCACGAATACAAAGATAAAATTTGTTCCCTTCAACATATCCAAGTGTTCATACAAATACATTCGTAAGCTACAAATTAGTGGTTCAAGTTTCGCTTCAACATTACGTTCTGCCGCTTTGTGTAAATTAGAGGCCTACATAGAAATGCTTACTCAAAACAAACTGTTTAAGGTTTTTGTTAGGTAACTATGCGCCAACTTAGTTGTAGTGAAGCCAAGCAAACATTGTTGTTTCAAATGAAAAGAGCTAAGTCACGAGAATAATGAGCAAGTCACAGAATCCGTTGTGAAAAATACAGCGTACGTAGGTGGTAGTAGTTTGGCCGCTAGTGGCGGGGATCGTAATCACCTTCTACAAACTTTTTCGTAGTTGATGTCAATCCGTTTTGAACGCTCATCACAAGCAGAACCCCTATAGGGGGTCGGGGTTCGGTCGGTACGTGTAGAGGAGTAAAAGTGTTTCCACGCCACGCGAAGTAATTCCGACTTGAATTGCCCAAGCTTAACATGCGCTATATAGCCCCTCCCCTCGATCCCACCCTCAAGCTGGCGGCGCCACAAAGCTTGTGTAAAGTTATTTTTCGTGGTAGTAGATTGTAGTTGTTGATTGACGGGGATTTCCGCCTCCCACTACAGCTTAATAAATAAAAAAGGTGCCGTTGGAATCTATGATTTTCCATCCACGTTATCCACCTGCACCATTCTCCTAGTTCTTCCAAAGAATTAATTATCGCAGTCGTTTTCTTGGGAGTACTCACAATCGATCAGAGGTCAAGAACAGTACTGAAAACTGTTGACTCAAGAACGCTGGATTTACGTTGCAGTAATTACTGATTCGAAAACATGTACAGTGCTGACTACAGTGTGGCACTTCAGAAAGGTTTTACTTCATATATGTTCATCTCTTACAGTGCTTCAATTTTGGACTCGTAGTTCGTCTCTGCATTCCCTTCACTATTAAGAAACCTCAACTGCTTAAGCGCTGATTCTTCCTGAGTGAAGACAGCCAATGTTTCTTTTCATATCGTTTTTACGAGTGCGACCGAGTTAATAGCTTCAAAGCGACTCTTTCGTTGTTCCAGAAACAATGGCGCCTAACATAATCCAAACAGTTATTGAACTTTCACTGGCTTCTTTTTACATATTTGTGCTATTTACTATTGCTACGTCTAAAGCGGAATCTTTCAAGAGACCGTTCTTCTTTATGTTCGCGGCAACAGGTAAGTTTTACCACTACATCCACCAAGTTTTCATGGCGAAATACCACTGTCGCAGTCTCACCTTCCATTGAATTGAACCGTTTTCAAGCCTTTGGGCCTCTAGTCTTTTTTTCCAGTAATTTTGTACATTATAGCATTTATATGATCGTAATCACAAGTAAACGGGAAATGACAAGGAGCAGTTCCATCATCTACAATTACTTATAGCTGGAGAAAATTCTAGCATTTGTGTGCATGTGTACAAGCTAAAAAATACAAACTATCATTGAGTTCAGAAGTCCCCTCCCCCACCTAATTGTTCATTACTTCAAGCGTCCTGCTTTGTCGATCACCTCCAACTTTGATCTCAAACGGATTCCGACTGGGCTTCAGTTAGAAAAACAAGAAATATCACACAATAAAATGCTTAAGCTACGTCCTCGCGTACCGAGGCGTTGACCATGCGTCAAAGCAAGAACGACACCATAGATGTTAAGCATGAACAGTTGGAAAGGGTTAGTTCTAGAGGAACTACTCACTACTGCCATCACGACACGACGGAAAAGTAAGCTCCCACATCGCACAGCTGCTCCAAACCATCAGTGAGCCCGTTCTAACATTAACCCTCTCAAAACATCCTACCGTCACGACGAAGGTCTCTATTGTGAGACTTTCAAGGAACAAGAGTGTAGGGATCAGAATTTCGTTCATTGTGGGAAGGAAATATGCACAAACTCAAGTTCTTCTGACCTTTTAAATTCTCGCAAAATCGTACGTTGTATCTTTTTCAGCTGTAAGTCACATATGAGTGAGCAGAGATGCTATCCGTATTTCCGGAACATGGGCGAAATGGAACGATTTTGGGTGCGATCGTATAGGGCATGCGGTGTTTCGTAACGCACCGGCGTGTCTACACATGACGTGATGAATGGATAATTTAAAAAACTCCTTTACTACCAGCCGCTTCACTGTCAATAATTTCGTTGCACCAAATAACATGTGGGCACCGCTGCAGAGGTTTGACTCCTTGTCCGACCTTTAGTGGGATTCATTCTTCTGACTCACTCAGTCGCTTCCAAACAAATTCCAGTTTCATTGCAAATGTATCTCCGTACTAAAAAAATTGTTATTTTGTCAAAAAACTTGAACACATCTTCAATCGCCTGCGGAAAAAGCTGAAAAAGTCCTTCTGAGAATCCAAAAGCGTTGTTGAATAGCGTCTTTATTGTATTTTCAGGCATAGCCGATGTCACGTCACTGCTCTCCAATGTGTTCCTTCGACTGAATCGCGAACTTGGCCTGGGCGAAGAATTCCGTTATTTTGTCTTATATTTAGCATTTGACAGCGGTGTCAGCTTCGTTGCGCATATGTTTGGAAACATGCTGCTAACAATTAATCGATACACTGCTATTTGTATGGCGCAACAGTATCACACGGTCAGCTATTCATCAGTTATATCTAATCTCAATCAATCAGTCATTCAAAGTCTTGGAGACGGCTTTGACATATTCATTCCACACACAACACTGCAGCAACAGCAGCAGCCGCGAAAGTTGGTCAAAAATGGTCGGAGATCTTATGCTCGGATGCTGCTTTGGTCGTCCGGTTACTCGGTCTTGCCGGGTTAGGTTCAAAAGCAGCATCAGAGTCTGAGGTTTCCGCCCATTTTGACCAATTCTCGCGTCCGCTGATGCTGCTGCAATGTTCTGAGTAACAAAGGGTGTGCTCGATTAAGCATTAAAAGCGCCTCACAGAAAGATTGAAAACTTTCACGTCAAGTGCCGATCACTTTAAAAACCTCATTATACTATTGTCTGTTCTTCTTCAGCTTTGGTCTCGAAGAAACGTGTGGATCGTAATAGGAGTTCAATATTTTGTAAGCTTTGCTTGTTCTGCATACATGTTGACATCGAAAGTGGTGTATATTCGCAACCAAGATGGAACAACTGTACTCAAAGGCATGGAGGGCCACGTCGACGTGGTTTGTTCTTTGAGAAGTTCCTTCCGACCGTTAACAGGCCCTATCAAGGAGCTCAGTTGACCCGTCCCAATTTTCGGGAGGTGGTGAGTTGGTATTCGCGGCAATAAGTTTGAGCGAGACCAGTGGGCATGGGAACCACTACCGCCTGCATTTCAGTCTACCACTATTTGTTCCATCCGCACCGGTCACTATAAGGGAACCAGTATTAAATAGGAAGGACAGCCGGCGGTGGGCTCGCCTCATGCCTCCTGACTTCGCCTTCGCTTATTGTGACGATATCAACCACAAGAAAACGAAAAAATTGTGGAACTTCTGTGGTGTTCTAAAGAGCAAGCGTTGTAAGATAGGATGTAGAATTAGACATTAAACTTTAAGATCGTTGGTCCTAAATCTCTGCAGTTTCTGTCCTCTTATAATGTTGGCATGTTAGTTGAATGTCCCTCACTTAACTCTTGCCTCACCAGATAAGATATGACATAAATGGTATGGCTCGAAGGTACATCTCCGTCATGTGGTCGGAGCTCTGCGAAGGGAATGCCATTGCGAACAAGTTTTGAGTAGGAAATTTGTAAAATGGTAGCGGTAAAGAAGGTCCCGCGCTCATGCAAGCCGCAGAAGTCCTCCCTTGCCAACATAGATCGCATTTTCAAATACTGCCTCAATTTTGTGAGTCCGACATTGAGTGACGAGATACTGCGGGTTTCTTGAGTTGAAGTTGTATACGGTGCTTCAAGCCACCTTGCCGATCCGGCACGGGATATGTGGCGGAAGTGTCTGGATTATAGGCGCCGATCATTCTGTGTGGGACCAATCTGTAGCCTTCGACGTCTTCCAGGTCGCCGTCTCATGCAAAATGCAAGGCATTCCGCTTTCTCAATATGCTTTTCTTGAGAAGGAGCGCATGCAGTAAAAAGAAACCCATTTTAGAAGGTGACATGCATCTTCATGCTATTTACCGAACAGAAACCAAATTTACGGAAGATTTGTGTTTGACTCATTTATACTTAGTGAGGATAACCAAACTGCTCTGGAAGAATTTCTACATCCTAACTAGAAACGCAGAGAGCTCATCCAAAATAATGGTCCCTCAATAAAAAACGACTTTTTTTATTCATTCCTCCCTTCGATGTAAAAATGGCAGAGTGTTATCCCTTTTACTGAATTGTTTTTCATCACAGGGAGGCAACGCAGAATTCTCCCTTCATAACTAGTTAGGGCTTTCATGCAGAATGCCCTTGCAAAGTGGCGCGGTGCCTTGACAGAGATCCACAAAATGCCCTCCTTCCCTTCGGTTGATCCTGTCCTGTTGCTCTTTCTTTTTATCACGAATTTGTAACTTATGATTGAAAACGACACCTCCACTTTATGAATCTGTAGTTATCAGCCCAAGGCACGTCCTGGCGTTGGTGAGAACTGCGAGTAAATACGACCTCCCTACCCAAAATTTTCTCCTCCTGTACGACCTCCTCCAACAACCGACCGTTCATCATACATAAGTTTTCCAACAACTAGCCGCCGACTGGGAAAGGGTAGACATCTCGGCTAAACTGTTACAAGTTGAAGTTTTGCGGTGCTCCGACTGGAGGGGTGTGAAACAAAAATATCAGCAATCATTCAAAAAAGTTGCCAAATCAGGTACGTCCCGTTTCCTTTCAGCGACTTTTCAGCGAGATTCGAAATTGGCTGTTGGGTGACCAGCGTACGGCGCTCAGTATCAGTCAGGAGATTGGGAGGGGCGAGAGTGGTCTCAAAAGTTCTTTCCAGCGAATGCAAAATCGACAAAGCGTTTCCAAATACTGATATTTCATGAAGACAATTTTTTGCAGTTCATCAGGTGCGTCTATATTGGAGCTGGTATGATTTATGCAACTGTAGGCATTACTCTCAATGTTAGCATGTTGGTTGCATGGCATAAAATGTCGAAGCAGAGAGAATTTCCAAGGAATGGCAATCAAGAAAAGGTGAGAGCGCTATGATATCTCATCGACATTTCACTTATCCTTACTAGTGACTTGAAAATTTACCAGTTTCGCAATATTCGACCTGCTTTACTAGCATAGTTTTTCCTTTTTCTTTGGCACAGTCACACGACGTTAGGTAGGCTTAGCTACATCTATATCTAACCATCTCAATTCGGGCCACGTTCACGTTTATATCCTCCACCCAGACCTCTGGGCGAAGGTTTTTTTCCGCCCTACAGCCGAAATTCGCTGAAACATTAATAACTGCGAAGACTCGAGTGTTTCAAATATACTTCGACGGTATCAAATAACTACTCTGCCTTCATACCATGCATAGTTTTCACCAAAAGCCTTGCGTGAGCAATGTTACTTCTTGCACCAGTGATCAGCGACATATAGATTGAACGTCACAGAGGTTGAAAATTGAAAAAAATGAAAAGTTCTACTCAGCGACCTCATTCTGGTTCAGTTAAAGCATTCACGTGGCCTCAACTTGCATAACACTGGAACTTTACAAATCATGGTTGGAACTCCATTGCCAACATCATATGCTACTGATTTCAGGGTCTTTTATTATATACGCTTCTTGTGTTCACCTTTACAATGCTGATGTGTGCACAATTATTTACAAGGGCAATCGCGTCACTTACTAAAGACGACAAGTTGTATTTATGGGCAAGTCAACAAGTTCGTCCACCACTTGTGATTTTTTTTCCTTCCTCCCGCTAAAGGACCACTTCACGTAAAACTGCAAACTGCAGGCACCTGCCCAACTCTGCACATTCCGCGAATGAAAATGGCTGCTTGATGGCTGTGAAGTTCTCTGATATCACTCAGAGGCATACATGAAAAAGCGAATCATTCGCCTTCACCAAAGAGTTTTATCAGTCTTGTTATAAAGAAACGTCCCTGGGTTCACCACTTTCACGTAAACACAAGCCTTTTTTACGTAAACTAATTGATTTACACATGCCCGCAACTATGCTAATCTCTGAACTCACGCTGAAATCCTAGTCATCAGCAGAACACAAACGGAGAACTTGTCGTCGAATTCAAAGCCCGCGATTACATTTTGTGGGCAATGGCAATCAATTGCGAACCTGTTGTCGCTGAGTCCCTCTAAAAGAAGAGAAAAATAGGAGAATTATCGACAGGTCCGTAAAAAAAACCCAGGGTGGCCTCACTGAACGAGTTCCCTGGGCTTACTCGTTCTATGCCATTAAAGCGATATCCGGCCGCTTCTGGCTCACTAATCGTTTTTTTTCGCGTCATCCAACGCTACATACAACCTAAGGAAGAAAAAAGTAGAAAGTTTAGTCAGAAACGGAGCTCGTGACAGGAAATTACCTTCGAGTTCGTGTTGTGAAAGATTAGGATTATACGGCAAACTATTGCTCCGCTGCAATCACATCACTGGTGCATTGGACGCATCCTACCTTGCTAGGTGGACATCTTTCGACTTCGGCATAAGCGCGACCAGCAAAAATGGACACGCCGTTCGGACTTATGTCCAACGCTCCAACAAACAATGCTGTGAAAGTTATGAGAAAGTTCACGTTTAGGCGGTCCAGCCGAGTGGATGTCAGAACTTGAACTTACCACAGCTGCAGCTCCCTCGTCTTTCAGTGCGGAGAAGGGAAAGAGGGACAGTCTAGTCTCCGAACTTCGGACCGGACTA